CAAACATAAAAAATAAAGTTTTAAATATTGCTTATTTTTTAATTAAATGGTTGGAGTTTTCTTAATTATAAATATGTCTCATTTCAAATATTTTATTATTAATATTAATATATTTTAATAAAATAAAAAATATAGCATAGAGTGCTTTGATCATTATATATATAGAGAGAGAAAGAAAGGAGGAATTTATTTTCTTTAGAAGTAACTTTACTTAAATTTATTTTATTCAATAACTCATATTTTATATTAAATTTTAACGATCCAACAGTTAAATTTAAATTTTTTAATGCATAGATAAAGTTTACAAATTTTTAAAAAAATTTAAAAATTATCTGATATTTCGTTTCATTAATTCAACTTGACAAATAATCATAAATTTTAAAATATGTTAAAAAAATATATGTGTGATCTAACGAATGATGATTGCGTGATATTTGCTTGTCTAGTAAGATTTGACTATTATTGATCATCTTTTTTTTTATCTCATTTTTTTCTTTATCTCTTCTCATGTTTTCTCTGTCTCATGTATTTTTCTTTGTTCAATTCTCTTTTTCTTCATTTATCAATATTTTGTTACATTTTTATTTTTTCTCTCTTATTTTTGTCTTTATCTATCAGTATTTTTTTGTTACATTTTTATCAATTAATATTGATGTATATATTTTTTTCTTTATCTATCAATATTCTGTTGCTACATTTTTATCTATCAATATTGATATATAATTAATCAATTTTTGTTTCTTAATTATTAAAGTATTGAAAATTAGTTTTAAATTATTAAATATTATATATTGTTAAAAATTTTAAATTAATTTTTTTTATTTTTAATAAAATTTAATATTGAAATAAAAATTTTTAAACATATGTTAAAATATATTTTGACAAGTCTATTGATTAATGAATATCATAAATTTAAACACATTGTTCAAATTAAATAGTATAAATGAGAAAATATAAATGCATAAAGGATTGTATGTAGAGAAATATTACTTAAGAGAACATGAATTCATAATCAATTGCTTATTAAAAGATTGGAAATTTATTGATTTCATTTTCTTTATTCAAATCTTGTCATTTATGTTATTTTTTTTATTAATTGTATTATTTTTTAAAAATTTCATATTATCTTTTGAAATGTAATAAAAAAAAATTAAAATCTTATAAATTTTTAAGATACAAATTCATTAAAAATCATATTAAAAAATCTTGATTAAAAATTCTTTTAAAAAAAATATTATGTCATTAAACTCCTACAAAATCTTTTAAAAAAATTCTTAAAAGTCTTTAAAATCCTATAAAATCTTATAAAACTTTTTTGTACTTAAAAAAAAAAAAAACTTATATAATCTCAATTTAATATACTCCCAAACTTTCCTATACTAAATGATGTTAGTATTTGAAGAATATAAGACCAAAGATCTATTGATTACATGCTGACTTGCACGAAGTCTAAGAAATTTTAAGATCACACACTTCTTCACTTTCAAAATTTCCTATGAGAAGGGTAGTGTAATTATTTACTGTCACTGCCGCAACCCATAGAAATAATATTTGAACGAAAAACCCTTCATGAAAATTATGAGTTTTCATTATTATCTTACTTTACAGACTTAAATGTGTTTTTGTCATTAAACTATAATAGCTATTTGATTTTAATTCTTCACATTTTAATTAAATAATTTTAGTCTTTTAAGTATTGTTATTATGTGATTTTAGTCTCTTAATTATTATAATTATATAATTTCTTTTTTACATATTTAAGTAATTTATATTAGTAATAATAAATATATATTATTTAATATATGAATGAAAACAATAATATATTTAATTTAAATAGGTCAAAAATTATATAAATGTGATAATTAAGGAATTTAAATCGTATAATTGTAATATTGAAGAGTTAAAATTATTTAATTAAAATCTTAACAATCAAAATTATATAATTGTTAGACTAGAGGGATAAAAATGTAATTAAGTTTAAATTATATGTATGAGACGAGTTTAAATAAATATAGTACATTTAGAAGTATTTGATGAACAATTTGAAAATTGTTTTTTTAATAATGTTTTTTAAGAATTTTTTTTAAAAAATATTATAAATATATTTATTTGATAAAATAATGTTAAACATCCATCCAGTTTGACATGGATTGGGATGGCGAAAAAGAAATAGAAAGAGAAAAAAAAATAATATATATATAAATAAGTGAGTTGTAAGAGAGTATGATATTTGATTATAATTATCCTATTTAATATATTTTAAATATTTTTAGAAATGAAGAAAATAATTATATCTTTACATAATAAAAAATGAGGATGTTTTTGGTTCGTTTCTGGAGTATTCACCGTCGATAGCAGTGACTAATCTCCTCGCTACGTTGGAGGCACCTCAAAGGGTGGGATAACTGGCCCTAAGATTTAACGTGACTGCATACACAAGGCAGGATTCGAACCCCTAACCTTTCTTAAACGTGGATCAACCCCTACTGCTGATTATAATTATCAAAATATTTATTTATAATCGACGTTTTAAAAATTGAATTCATCATTAAATCAATGAAAGAATTAAATTTTTGAATTCAAAATTATAGTGATATTAATTAAATTATATAATTTATTTTTTTAATATTTTTAAAAATATCTATATTATATATATTTTTTATATATAAATGTTAATAATATTATATTTATCAATTAAAATCACAAAATACAATATGATGTAGTGTATTTTGATTTGAATATTTGGCTTCAAACACACATAAAGAAACAGACACAGCAGCAGGACGCATCAGATAATAGCAGGCTTGGGACGCGGAACAAGCTTCATAGCAGGAAACGTCTCAAAATTGGAAAAATAAAAAGCATTGGTTTAATCGAATAGATTTAACGAATTTATACTAGGATGACCATTATCTCGACTTAAAAAGAAAAAAAACTCAATTTAATCGAAATTGGATACGAGAATAAAAATAATTATATACATATTTACTTTGAATTTGTATTTATTTTAAATTTGTAGAAATTTAATTTATTTTTTTTAACATTTACTTGATATTTGTATAATTTTTATCCTACTTTAGATTTATTTTAAATAAAATTTAATTAATGTAATTTTGTAATTATTATTCTATATTAAAAAATTAATATTTTTTATAAAAATTATTTAATTAATTTTTGAGTAAGAATGTGACAAATACAAATATACTCGATATTTGATGAAAAAGAGGATAAGATGAAAATTTTATACATATTAAGTATATGGAGATGAAGACAAGTATATGATATGAGAACAAGAATGTTGACGAGAATATTGAAATCTATACTCGTCCTATCTCTTTGTCATCCTAATTTACACTGATTTAATGATATCACCTCCAAATCAAATGTTTTAAGTAATTGAAATATTAACTCAAATCAATGTATTGTCTATGCCTTGATCGGATGGATTTGACTAACCAATCCAAGCTAAATTTTAAAATTATGATTACAATGCATTCTATATTTCTATCAACAAACATTTTTATAAGAAATATAAGGGTGGGTTGGTGGACAGTGAGTTAGCTCAAAAAAAATAAAAAAATAAAGATATATAAAAAGAAAAAAATACATATTTATTTTAAATATCTATTAAAATATACATTTTTAATATCTAAAAAATTTATATAAATTAGCATATCTAAATAATAAAATAAATATCAATTTACAATAGACCTAATTTAATTTTTTGATAACAAATTTTAAATTTGTTACATAATAAAATAAATATATAATTATAATAATTATTATTATTTTAACAAATTTACTATAAAAAAATCAAATTACATATAATTTAAAAAAAATAAGTGAATTAGCGGATAACGAACAATGGACCAACCTGTATTTGGTTCAACGGACTATCAGATTAGAATACTTAATCTAACCCATTAGTTTTTATAGATTAATGAATCGGCTGTAGATCGAGACCTATTTTATCATCCATGCCTAATATTAATGAGAAACTTAAAAGAATTTTCTTTCTAACGGTATACACTTCCTTAAAGATTTTGGTTTACATAATTACAAATGTGCTTCAAAGTAAACTTAAATTTTAAATCATCGTGATTGTTTAAGAGCAACTATATATTAGGAATTTTAAAACACTGAAGTTATATCCTAATATTTTATGTCATTCATTAATTTAAATTTAAATTTAATTTTTTTAGAAAATAAAATCCCAATTAAAATAGAAAATGAAACCATATTTATTATGAGTACGGGAGATAATCATGTCTTAATAAAAACAATGTTGATGGAATGAAACAACGTGGGATCACTTCGGAGCTTGTTTAATAAAATATTTGAAGTTGTTGAATTAGAGAAAATAATTGATTATGTTGTAAATATAAAAATAAGAAATGTATAATGGTGAAATACGCTTTAAGATAGAAATTTTTTTTCTAGCAATATATTTTATAATACACTCTATTCTTTATAACACCGAATCTACATTGTATCTACTATGGATTAAAAATATTAGAAATCACAATTTTTTAAACACCGAATCTACACTCTATCTGCTATCAATTAAAAAAATCAGGAATCACAATTTTTTGTGAGTTCTATTTTTTATTTAATGAATCCATATCCTAATTTAATAAATTTTAATCAAGTGTATTGTTAACGTTATCCGCTAAAAGAAAAAATACTAACATCATATTTTTTTAGTATACTCTTTGTAATTTATGTAAAAAAAAAAAAAAAGAACTTTATTTGTAATACACTCTTCTTTTCAATTAAAATTTATCAAAAAAACCATTAAATTATTAACATGGTTCTTAAATAAAAAATGAGATACCGATGATTTTTATATTCTTTTAATAAATTAAATAAAGTAGATATTTTTAAATATTTTTTTTACAGTTAAGGTAGAGTACTTTTAAAAAGAATGTTAATGGTATTTTTTAAAATTAAAATTAAATATAGGAGTGATGACGCTCTTAAGATTATAACTTACAAGGCAGTACAGCAAACTACGACCACAAATTTTACTCTCCATCGAACTTTAAATAAATACAAACAACCCTCACAAGCGTCAAGTTTCTACTCATGAGGCTAGGCTACCCTAACACTATGCTAAAATATATGTAGGATGACACTGTGAATGCAGTTCAACTTAGAACCTATATATTATCAACTAAATTCTATAAACAAGGAGTTCTAAAACTAAGATCATAAGTCCAATCCTCAAAATAAAAAATATAATACCATAATTCCACATTTGATCTCAAGACTATAAGCACCCCACAAACATGTCATATAATCTCCACTGCTGAGTCAGCACCAGCTGTAGCAGAAACTTGGTTTTGTTCCTTGACCACCACTCTTCTCGTCTTCCTCAACCAATTTATAATGCTTGCAGCATAGTCATAGAGGCTAAGAGCAATGTAGAGTCCAATCCCACCAATGATCCCATTTGCAATGGAATAAGTGAGAGGCATGAGGATCATGGTTGCAAAAGCAGGCACTGCATCCTTTGTGTTGGTCCAATCTATCTCCTTCACCACCTTCATCATCATCACCCCAACCATCACCAGGGAGGGTCCTATAGCCCAAGGAGGAACACTAGTCAACAGAGGAGTGAAAAACAGTGACAAAAAGAAGAATAACCCAATGAAAATCGCTGTTAACCCTGTGCGACCACCCTCTCTCAAACCAGCTGAAGATTCCACAAACGTTGCAGTGGTTGACACACCCAATGCAGAACCCACAATGGTGCTACCTGCATCAACCATGTATGCCACATATTCACCTTCAAAATGTCCTTTTTCATCCACAAAGCCACCAATCTCAGCCATGGTGTACATTGTGCCAGTGATGGCAAGCACATCTACATAGAACAAAGTAGCCAAAGCCACCCACACTTCCTTTCTGTTAAACTCTTTGAAGCTAAGGGCCCCAGCAATGGACTCAATCTTGTGAAAACCAACCACTTGTTTGAAATAGTTGAAATTTGCATCACCAAGTGGGGTGTTAGGAAAATAAGTCACCTCAGTGTGTCTAAACCATGACACCAATGTCACAAAGAGAATCCCATAAATCATGCTCCCCTTGATATTCTTCATAAGCCCATAACATGTGATGAGGAAGCCAACCAAGCCCAGCCAGAATTTTGGGCTTTGCATCTTCCCACCCAAGCAGGCCCCCGTTTCAGGGTTGACATACTTGCAGGCTGTGAGGGTGACCAAATTGGAAGCATCAGGCCCAATAAGCCCAACGCCGAGGCCACCCTGCAGGCCCGTGAAGGCGATGAAAAGCCCAATCCCAGCAGCACAGCCAAGCCTAACAGAATTCGGAATGAGCTTGGCAAGCTTCCCTCTCAGCCCAACAGCAGAGATAAAAAGAAAGAGACTCCCCTCAACACAAATCACAGCCAAAGCAGTTCGGTACGGAACCGACCCAGTTCCGTGAAAACCAACCATGTTAAAAGCCAAGTAAGCATTGGGCCCCATACCTGGAGCCAGGCCCAAAGGGAGGTTAGCCAGCAGGCCCATGGAAACAGACCCAATCAAAGCCGAAACAGCGGTGGCCACAACAAGGTCGCTCTTGGCCCGTGCGAGGCAGCTCTCATACCCAACGTTGGGCCCCACCACGCAGTCCGGGCCCGCCGGAGGGGAGCAGTCGGCGGCGGAGCAGGTGGTGCCGGAGGCGGCGATGATGGTGGCGTTGACGGTGATGATGTAAGCCATGGTGAGGAAAGTGGCAACAGCAGCACGAAGCTCCCTTGTGAAACAGCTCTTCCTTGCTTCCAACTTGAAGTAGCTCCCGAGGAAGCTCTTGGAAACGGCGTCGTTGAGGGATTTCTCCATCTGAGAGCACGAGTTTCTGAAACGTGAAACGCACCCACCTCTCATATTTGCACAAAGATTATCTCTTCCCATGAATGTTATGTTATGGGTGTGATTGATATGAGATGAATATTTGGTAAAGGAGAAGAGAGAATCCGGAGGAGATTTTTGGTGTGTGGACAAGTGGAGATCATGCAGGAGTGAATATACTGATGTTAACGTGTGGCGATAGAGAAATAAGAGGTTGTGTTGTTGTGTTAATGTTATGGAGAAGAACGGTTGTTGGTTTCATCATGCCTAGCTTACCTGGCTACGTTATTTATATGCTTTGTTCTTTTGTTTAATACACACAAATTGCCAACTAGTACTACCTTTTGTGTTAAAAACTCAAAAAGCATTTATTATATATATATAGGGAGATAAATTTAAATTAATATTTATTGCCAGGTTAATGTCAATGATATTAATTTCTTCCCGTTACATCTTTTTTGTTTGGTCTTCCAGAGCGTTTTTTTTAATCGTTTTAAGGTAATTATGTATTTATATATTAAGCTTCAAACTTAAGACTTTTCATTAAGGTGGCTAACTTGATGCTAATGGATGTTTAGTACATGACATTTTTTTTTCTTTATATTTTAGAATATGATTATTTTTATGAATTATAAACAAATCCATTTGGGTGGATAAAGATATTTCTCAAAATGTTTATAAATATTATCTGAAAATTAAAGGTTTTTTTTTAATTATATTAAATAAATAAATAAAGGTAATATAATATTTTTACCATATTAAAACTTTATTTTTATTTTAGAATTCCACCATATGATTAATTTCGTGAAAATTATGCAAAAGTTATTTTCGGAAAATATTTAATATTGTCTAAAAATTTGTTTATACTAAAACGGAATATCCTTTTATTATTAGTATAAATAAAAATTTACCAATGAAGTTTAATTATCATTTTCCGTTTTTTATTTTTTGCAAAGCGTGACGACTACTAATGTATTGGCAATCTGAATTAAATAAAAACATTTAATAAAAAGTAATTATATAAAAATAGGAAAGTCATTTAATAATTATTTTTTAATGAATATTTAATAAATGCATTTAATACTTTTTTATTACTACCTTTTAAGACTCTCATTGATTAGAGTCATTTGAATTTTTTTTACTGACTCTTGTTCTTGGCCTACAATGTTAATTTGTTAAAGTTTTACAATTTTGGGGTGATTGTACCTTGGCAAAAGACTTAACATAAGACATATTGATTTAAGTATTTAACTGATTAGTGATTAGAGAATAGAGATCATACAAGCATATGGATTTGAATCTGGATGATGAACTAATGATGTAGTGGGTCGTTTAAGTTCAAACTTTTGGTCAAATTGTTAGAAACAACTTAATATAAAATAGCGTGCGCATTAAAATCACGTACCATGTCCCACGGAATTAGAAAAAGGAAATAAAATACTCCTGCTCGATTCTTCTTTGATTTTGTTTGCAATTATAACATGCAAGACAAGAAGATGGATTTAGAAATCCAAAATAAAAATCTTTGGAAAATTGAATACTATTTTTGTAATACGTGTGGGAATCTTATTAGCCTAAAGAAAGCTATATATATATATATAT